AAATTATAATAATCATTATTTAAAAATACATTTATATAGAATTAAAAAAAAAAAAAAAACACTCTTAGATGACAGGGGAGGCCCACATATTTAGGAACCCTCCCCATCCTAGGTTTAGTTTTGTATAATTCTATATAGTCTAAACTACGTACATAAAATATTTATATGGTAACAATAATAAAAATTAAAAATATTTCGGGGAATCATGCAGTACCTTTTTCTCCGAAATCAATCCAGCCTAACTTTCTTTGTTTCAGATCTTGGCACTCCAGTTTGCTCCCTTCAACAAAATTTCTGGCAGAATATTTAGTAATAATAATTATTATTATTACAAATAAAAAACTAAACTTTATAGTCCCTCTGTCCCAATATAGTTGTCCTTTTTTTCAATTAATCAATAATTTAGGGATAATAATTATATTTATGTATAATACTGTTTAAAAAATAAAAGATAAAGAGAGACTTTTTGTGATTAGATAATTAATTAAAATGAATGTATAATGATGAGATTAATATGAGAACAAAATATTTGTCTACCTTGAGAAATAAAAAAAAATGATAATTAATTTGGATTTAAAATTTAAAATAAAAAACTATACTTATTTTGGGACAAAGAGAGTATATAGACTAAAGAAAAGTTAGGCCAATAAGGTAGTCAAGCCTAGAGCATATGTTTAAGAAAAAAGTTCAGATAAAAATACAAATTTTTTCATTTTTTTATTAAAGAATATAAACTTTCTGGACTTTTAAGTGAGATAGTAAACTTTCACTTTCTCTATTTATGGATATGAACTTTGCCATATTTTGATTAAGATTGTCAATTGTTACGTTATCATCGCCAGATAATGAATCCTTAAATAGAAAAAAAAAAAAAAACAAAATTCATATCCTTATTTGCAAAAAAAATTAAAAGTTTATGGTTAATACCGTTTTTGGTCCCTCTACTATTGAAAAAACCCCTTTTTGGTCCCTATACTAAGAAAATTTCCTTTTTAATCCCTAAAGTTTGAAATCCGATCCCTTTTGGGTCCCTCGATTAAATTTTTTAACCAATGACAATCAATTATCGGAATTGTGTGATTTATTTTTTTATATAAATGACGTGAAAAATCCATGGTGTAAAAAAATGATGATGTGGCATTTCGTGTATTAATATTAAATATTATATGTAATTTTAATTAGTATATGTTTTAATTATAAAAGTTAAAATTACAAATTTACACTTAAACTTCATCTTCAACCACCCATCTTCTCTCTCCTCCATCTAAATTAAAGTCGACAGAGTCTTCTCTCTCCCTTTTTCCTCTCTTCTTCTCTCCCCTCATTTGACTGAGTCTTTTTCTTAATAAATTGGCAATGACTCCCCCAATAAAGTATCTCACCATGAACCCAAGAAAAAATAAGAGAAATCCTACCCAAATCTAGTTTCCCTACCCAGATTTAGTTTCCTCTCCTACCCCCTTCTTTGTTTTAGATCCAAATGCAATTTAAAAAACCCAAATCCAATGGCTCATTCTTCCCTCTCAGCCCTTAGTTTCCAAAATCTTACACAACCAGCAGCTCCTACCATCGTTGCCATCAACCCATTCATAGACCAGATGGTGATCAACTTCAACAAAATCTTTACCATACCATGGATACCCTTTCAGGGTCTTTTCCTCATTTCCTTCTCTTCTCCTCTCTTCTCTCTTCCTTTCCTCCTTCGTCCAAACCAGATTTGGGTTCATCGTTGTCGTGCAAGCCTTGAGTGAGGAACCCAAATCTGGGTTCATTGCTCTCATGTGAGCCTTGAGTGAGGAACCCAAATATGGGTTCTTGCTGCAGACCTTCCCTATAATCCTTGATTGAAACCTAGATTTTTCTATTGAAAGAAAGTGGTTTTGTTTTACTGGTTGTTTAGATGCTAATCAAACATGGATTGCGCCACCACATCCATCATCATCCTTGTTTTCTTGACTGGAAGTGATTTTGTTGTTTGGTTTCTTAGAAAGTTAGAGAAAATATGAGAAAATTAAGCGGTAATTTGCAATAGAAATTATATTAATGATTTAAAAAAATTATGTGTTTTAATTTGAACATGCAATAAGAAATCTAGGGTTGAACCCACTGCAGATATTTTTTAACAATTAAGAATTTGTAAATTTGTAGATGATTTTTCCAAGAACAGACAAGACAAGAAATTGTTTTTTTTTGGTTAAATCCCCATTTTGGTCCCTGAACTATTGTACGGACCTCCGATTTGGTCCACACTGTTTATAATTTGACCTAATTTGGTCCTTGAACTATTGTAAGGACCCCCAATTTGGTTTTTACTGTTTACAATTTCGCCCCAGTTTGGTCCCTAAACTATTATTTAACAAAAGGACCAAGTTGGGGCTAAATTGGTAAACAGTAGGGACCAAATTAGGGATTCGTATAATAGTTTAGGGACTAACTCGGGGGTCCGTACAATAGTTTAGAGACCGACTCAGGGGTCTGTACAATAGTTCAAGGACCAAATTAGGGATTTCTTTAGTTTAGGGACCAAATCGGGGGTCCGTACAATAGTTCAAGGACCAAAATAGGGATTTAACCTTTTTTTTTTCTAAATCCAATTAAACATAAATGATTTAATCTAATGAGACTTAAATGAGTAATTAAAGTTGGTTAATAAATAATTAAAGTTAATTGTATTGTAATTCAAAGATTAAGAAATAAAAGTTTATTTTTAACAAAAAAAACTAATCTTTTTACATGAAATGTTGATGTGGACTCAAAAATATGTCCATATCATTTTTTTTAGAAAGTGGATTTTCCACATCACACAATTTCGTTAATTAACTATCACTTGTCAAAAAATTTAATGGAGGGACAAAAAAAAGGCCGGATTTTAATCTTTAGGGACTAAAAAGGAGATTTTTTCAATATAGGGACCAAAAATGAGCTTGTTTTCAATAGTAAAGGGACCAAAAATGGTATTTAACCAAAGTTTATTGCTGAATTTAAAAACCTAAAAGTTCATATTTTTAAGTATAAAAAAAAAAAAAGGAAGACAAAATCTGTATCTTTACCTATACATTTTCACCGTATATTCTTGTTCAAATTAACTGAGAGAGGTCAAAGTTGACATCAACTAAATTCTACCTTCTAGTCTAGATAAAAAAGCAATGGAAGTCCAAATGTGACTTTCATTTCACTAATTAAAAACTTGAGCCTTCTTATTGGATTTCTTAAATTCAAATTTTGTAATACATGAAAAAAGATGTAAAATTATCTTTTATTATATAATTTATTGTTTGACATGACAAAGAAGCAAGGCAATGAAAGATATAATAATTTTGTTGCATGTTACTTTTCACTTATTTAATTACTTATTTTTCTAAAAATAACTCCAACAAGCACAATTATATCTATTTAAACCTCAATTTCTTCTAAAGTGATGAACCCAATATGAGAGAATCAAATATAAATATTGATGGTACCAATAAAATTGAAAGTTCATAATTTATTTAAAATTAAATGTTTGGGGGGCAAAATTTGACATTTAACCTAAGAACAAACCCAATTGCCCATCAAATCCTAGACATTTGAGTCTCCATATCTTACTCATTTCTAAACCATTTAAAGCATGTAATATATTGTCGTTCCACAGCTGGGTGACGTTTTTAGTTGCGCCTCATTGAAGGAGTCCTGGTCAGGGGAGGGGGTTGAAAAGAAAGAAGACATTATTGAAGCTTGATTAATTCTCTGAGAATTCTGAGATCATCGAAGTCATTATAATATACTCCGTAGATGAAATTAAGAAAGGAATCATCGAATCAATTCTGTAAGCATCAAAAGATAGACCAAAGTGAGAGCAAGAAGAGAGAGTGAGGCAGACCGAGGGAGCGAGGCAGTGGATGACGAAGATCATGGGACCAACACAGAGCATAGAGCGAGGGTCGAAGAAGCACCAGAAGGTATAATGGAGCAGCTAGTTGGAATAGAGGCCGTTAGAGACAAGGGTATAAAGGTGGATACGATCGAGCCCTTTACAACCAAGCCCTTTACAACCAAGCAACAGTGTTTTTCTTCACCAACTTTCCAGATGGCTGGACCTATGAACAAATGTGGAAGACCTTTCTCAAGTTCGGACGTGTATTTGCCATATATAGCCCCCAGAGAAAGAACAAGGAAGGAAGCAGGTTTGGGTTTGTGCGCTTCCTGGACGTCAAGGATGAGAGGAGCCTAGGGAGACAGTTAGATCAGATCTGGATTGGAAACCAAAAGCTCAAAATCCACCCTCCTCATTTTAACACTCAAATAACATCGGTACACCCCAAACACCATACCAACACTGCAAGGAACCCAAAACCAAGCTACGCGGAGGTAGTAAAAGGCATTGGAAGTAGAGGTGACAATTGGACAACCAATAGAGATATCAAACCTGTCCAACACGGGATCACAAACAACAGTGGCAAAACAGAACAAAAATGGGTAGAGAAGCGGAGGGAATTGCATTGGACTGGACTTGAGTTCAACCCGAGGCATGAAGACTGGGAATGGCTTGAGGGATGCTTTGTTGGAACAGCCAGATCAATAAAGATTGTGCCCATACTTCAAGAAAGACTATACATGGAGGGGCTTTTCTCAATCAAGCTTCAAGCAATGGGTGGGAAACTTGTCCTTATGGACTGTGATGATAAAGAGGAATTGAAAGAACTGGTTGAGTCAGCAAAAGATTGGCTGGGGTAGTGGTTTGTCAACATTAAATGTTGGACCCCCCAAATGGTTGCCACGGAGAGATTTGTTTGGCTGAAGTGCTATGGAGTTCCTCTTCATGCATGGGGTCCTGACCTCCTCATCTCAATTGCAAATCTATGGGGGAATTTTATCACCCTAGATGAAAGCACTAGCTCTAAAAAGAGGTTTGATGTTGCAAGGTTTTTGATCTCCACATCAGAAACAGGCCTAATCTCTAAAACTCTTACATACAAAATTAACGGCCACATGTACTGCATAAAATGCAAAGAGGAGGAGACAACAAATGGATGCTTCTTTTTAAAAGCAGACTTCCAACCAATCTCCCCATCAAACTCTGAGGAAGATTGTAGTGAATCTTGGTCCTCCGATTATCCGTCTGAAGACACTCAAAGATTTGGCCAGAATGGAGTCATGCATAGCGGTGACTCTAACCCGGCATCCAGTGAAGATGAAGATGATGTGGCACTAAAGGACAGCCAGGCAATGGGGAAGTCAACTAGGGTGAGGATTTCGAAGGATCTTTCAGATTGGAACAGTGCAAATAATAAATTCAACTGGCAAGAAAGGACAGCTATTTGTTCCCAAGAAAGGCATGAGGAGGGATGTTCAATAGACGTAGTTGGTGATAGCCTGACATCGTCGAAAAATTCAAATGATTTCAAAATTTTGAATGGGGATGGTGGTAAGCAAGTGGTAGATCCAACGAAGCAACCCTCTGAACACTCCAATAGTGGTCCCGGACGGACTATTGAGAAAAATAATGGGCCAATTTTGGTAGCCCAACAAAACTCCACCAATTTGCAAGAATTTAACAATGTTGGGCCTGACGTCAATGTTAACTATGATGGGCTTAGCAAATCAACACTTAGTTGTAGCAAATCCATTCCAAAGCAGTAAATTGCTGTAGTTTCATCACTCAATAGCCTAGCGAATCTGGAAAATAATTCCAAGAGTAAGGCTGATCTTGAGCAGCGATTGGAAGAGGACTCAGGTGAGGATGATGAAATAAACTCTTTCTGGTATGGATTAGCTAGCGATTCTGAGATAATTAAAGAAAGAACAAGCTAAGATGCAAGGAAGAAACAGAGAAGGAAGAAGAAGAGTAAAAGGATTAGATCGTACCAAGCGGTGTAGAAGGATTCCAATCCAGCAATGACTGTTGGGGTTCAGAAGATGGGTCGTGGACGGTCAAGTTTATTAAAGGAATTGGGAGACAAAGTCCCTGAATTCTACCCAAATGACACCAACTCTGTAACGGGGCATCAATTACAGATAGTGCTATTGAAAACTACAACAGAGGGTTTCATAATAAGGATAGAGTCACTTCAACTCTAGATGCGTGGAATCTCATCAAGGATATGGGTTTGGCTGCTGATGGGAATGAAGATGAAATCATCAAGAAGATTGAGTTGACGGAGCAGAGGGACATTAATGCTAAAAAACAAGCACTGGAAAGGAATACGGTGAACGATTGTGAGGTACGTATATTTCATCCATGATTATTCTCTCTTATAAAGTGCGAGGCTTGGGTGGTTCTGACAAGAAAAGAGAAGTAAAGGAATGGGTAATAAAGGAAAAAGTGCAGTTTCTAGCTTTGCAGGAGTCAAAATTAGAACAAGTTAGTCGTCAAACTTGTAGAGCTTTATGGGGTACAGATGATTTTGAATTTGCAGCTATGCCTTCTGTTGGTCGTTCGGGTGGATTGATTTGTGTTTGGGATAACAATATTTTACAGTTGAATAGAATTTTTAGTGGAGAACACTACTTGGGTTTGTTTGGTTTTTGGGGAACAAACAGGACGCCAGTGCACCTTATAAATGTCTATGGCCCTTGTAATTTGGTAGGAAGGAGACAGTTGTGGACTGAGCTAAAAACTCTAATTACAAGTATGAAGGGTAACTGGTGTGTGATGGGAGATTTTAACACCACAAAGAATAGTCAGGAAAGAATTGGACGCACTCGTGTGTCAAGAAGCATGTGGGATTTTGCAAACTTTATTCATGAATCTGGGTTGGTGGATATCCCTTTAATTGGAAGAAAGTACACATGGTACCACTCAAGCAGCAACTCTATGAGTCGATTAGATCGATTCTTGATGACAGAGGAATGGTTAACAAACTGGAGTGAAACAAGGCAGTGGGGTTTGAGGAGATCACTCTCTGATCATTGTCTAGTGTTGTTGAGAGATTCAAAGATTAATTGGGGGCCCTAAGCCCTTTAAATGCTTCAATAGCTGGATTGACAAGCCAAGCTTCCATGAAATGGTAATAGATACATGGAGAACAGTTGATGTTCAAGGATTGAAAGGCTACTGTCTTAAGGAGAAAATCAAGCTTGTAAAGAAAAGGCTTAAGTAATGGACTGAGAATGATCATACAAGGCTGGATCAGAGCATTACTGAAAGCAAAGATAAAATTGAAGCACTTGATTTAAAATGTGAACAAGGGACTCTTTCAAGGCAGGAATCAAGCGACAGGAAAATTGAATTTTAGCAGTAGTGTGGAATTGTGGAGACAGAAAGCTAGGAAACAATGGTTGAGAGAAGGAGACGCAAATTCCAAATTCTACCACAAAGGTATTAGCAGCAGACAACGCAGGAAACAGATTGTCAGTCTCCAGGTAAATGGGAAGAAATTAGAAGATGTTGATAATATCAAAAATGGCATATTAGAGTACTTCGAAAATCTGTTTAAAAAAGAAGAATGGAAAAGGCCGAATATGGATGGCATTTCTTTCAAACAAATTTCCCAAGCCCAGAATGATCTACTTGTTATGCCATTTAGTGAAGATGAAATCAAAGCAGCAGTGTGGGATTGTGGGAGTGACAAGGCTCCAGGACCTGACGGTTTCAATTTCACTTTCTTCAAGAAAATGTGGAGTGAAATAAAGGATGATATAGTGGAATTTGTCCAGGAATTTCACAAGAATGGGAAGTTAGTAAAAGGCTTGAATGTTTCTTTCTTAACATTGATTCCAAAAGTGAAGAATCCACAGAGAATTGAGGAGTTTAGGCCTATTTCACTCATTGGCTCCCTGTACAAAATTGTTGCTAAATTGCTTACTAATAGGCTGTACTCAGTAATAGCTGACATTATCGGGGAACATCAGTTGGCCTTCATTGAAGGTAGGCATCTATGTGTAGGAGTTGTCACAGCAAATGAAATTATTGATGAAGCTAAGAGGAAAAAGAAGAAGAGCTTTGTTTTCAAAGTAGACTTCGAGAAGGCTTTCGACAAGGTGAATTGGAACTTCCTTGATTATATGATGATGAGACTTGGGTTTACTAAAATATGGAGAAAATGGATCATGGAGTGTCTTCAAACGAGTTTATTGTCGGTGTTGGTCAACGGTAGCCCATCTAAACAGTTTCCTGTCTCAAGGGGATTAAAGCAAGGAGATCCATTGTCTCCCTTCCTATTCCTGATCGTTGCAGAAGGATTGAACAAAATAATCAATACTGCAATTGACAGGGGATTGTATGAAGGAATAAAAGTGGGGAATTCGGGCATGCGATGCTCTCACATCCAATTTGCAGATGACACAATCATTTTTGGGGAAGCTTTTGAAAAAAACATCCAGGTTGTGAAGTGCATTATGAGAGCTTTTGAGCTTGCCTCAGGTCTAAAAATTAATTATCATAAAAGTCAACTCATGGGTATTCATATTGAGGCTGAATGGATGTAAGAAATGGCTTGGATACTTAACTGTAAAACTGGAGTTTTGCCCTTTAAATACTTGGGAGTCCCAGTGGGGGGAAATCACAGAAAACTTAGCATGTGGCTACCATTAATTGAATCTTTTAAGAAGAAGTTGCTGAACTGGAAGGCTCGTTGGTTATCTTTCGAAGGCAGAATTACCCTCCTCAACTCTGTGCTCACATCGCTCCCAGTCCTCTTCTTGTCCGTCTATCTCGCTCCCAAAGGTATTGTCAAAACTTTTGATAAAATTAGGACTAAATTTCTATGGGGTGGATGTGAGGAGACTAGGAAAGTGCATTGGGTTAATTAGAAAACAGTCTGTATTAGTAAAAGGGATGGAGAGCTTGGGGTTAAGGATCTTAGACTTTTTAATCAGGCATTACTTGGAAAGTGGTGGGGTAGATTGGCCAAGGGTTCTCCTGGGTTGCTTTTTAACTTGATTAAAGAAAAATATGGGTATGAGGGTGGAAATTGGTGTAACTGGGTAAAAGAAAGGAAGAGCGCAGGGTCAAATTGGTGGAAGGATTTGTGCAGGCTAGATGTACTAGAGGAGAATAGAAGGGGTTGGCTATCTGGGGGCTTCCAAATTAGGATCGGTAATGGAGAGAAAGTTAGTTTTTGGAAGGATTCATGGAGTAATATTGGAGTGCTTGCTAATGTTTTTCCGAGATTATATATGCTTTCTACAGGGAAAGACAACACAATTGATGAGATGGGTAGATGGGAAGACAACAAATGGGTTTGGAACCTTCCTTGGAGACGCACCCCACACTCTTGGGAGCAAGATTCCATGCAAGATTTCAACAAGCTTCTCAAGGAGACCAACCTGACCATAGGGAAGGAAGACACTTGGACCTAGGAACAAGATAAGTTGGGTGATTACTTTACAAGTTCAGGATACACTGCTTTGGTCCAACATCAACCCTCACCATACCGACAAGTTTTTGAGAAGATTTGGAACCCCTTTATTCCTCACAAAGTTTGTGGATTCACTTGGTTACTACTACTTGACAGGATTCCCTCAAAATTCAACTTGTTGAAAAGGGGATTAATTAAGTAGATGGAGGCTGTTAAGTGTAGCCTTTGTGGACGGAATGTGGAAGACAGCAACCATCTTTTTCTCCACTGCTCAGTTACTGCAAAAATCTTGTCAATGTGCTTCAAATGGTGGGGCTTCTCCACTGCCATTGCTGGTTCATGTTGGGATTCTTTCATCCAACATGAATCCTTAGCTACTAAAAGTAGTGAACGGTTGGGTTGGATTATAGTGTGGTTTTCTCTTGTCTGGACCATCTGGACTACCAGGAATGAGGTAATCTTTAGAGGTAAATCAATGGATTTGACAAAGACTTTCGATCAAGTTCAGGCTCAAGCCTTCCTCTGGGTCAAGAGCAAAGGAAAGGAAGTACATTTCTGCTTCTCTGATTGGATCTTAAACCCCAGGTGCTGCAAGTTTTTGTAAATGGGTCTCCCAACACTATACTGTTTTTTGGTTCTTCATTCTATCAGGGATTGATTAACGTATACGGGTTTGGGTACCCCTTGTACTCATTTAATTAAATCTTTTGCTTTTCAAACAAAAAAAAAAAAGAAGCATGAAATATATCAAAAGAAAGCCTAGTGATCTATCCACTCAAACCAATTTCATAAAAAGAAAGCTTAGTAAGAAAGCTTCGCATGTTAAATTTTCGTATGAAATTATTGTCCAAAAAATAAAAGAAATCAAATTAAAATTACTAAAAATGATCAAAGTATGGTTCAAATTATACTAAATTGTACCATAATATAAACAAAGACTTGATTGAGAAATGAGACTCTTAAATTCAGGACCCTTCTTTAGGTTTAATTTTGTACAATCCAAACTGTGCAAGATGGTACAAATATTCCCATATATAGTAACAATACGAAACATTTCTATAGTAACAATGATAAAAAGTTAAAAACATTTAAGTGAATTATATGCAGTACCTTTTTCCATGAAATCAATTGGTCCTAGCCTTCTTAGATTCAGATTTTGCCGGTGTAGTGTATGCTCCCTTCAACAAAATCATCCCTGGCAGAATATTTAGTAACAATAATTATTACAAATAGAAACTAATTTTTATATATAGAGAAAATAAAAGTCAAGTATTAAGAAAATACGGAGTTAAGTTAAACCTCAAGTTATTGTTATTTTTAAACAAGTTCCAACTTCTCGTCTAGACTATATAAAAAGGCAACGGAAAATATAGTAATTTTGTTGCATATTATCTTTTCATTAATTTGCTTAGCTAAATTTAATGATTGGTCTATTAATTGTTAATATAATTAAATTGTGGTTATAACCACATGCTAGTATTGTTAAAG